GCCTAGACAATTCCTATTGGCTTTTGAAAGCCAATAGAATTAGACTCTATTCAAGAGAGTCTATTCTATTGGCTTTCAAAAGCCAATAGAATAAAAGGAAAAGGGGAAAAAATGGCGGACTGCGTTGTTTGGTGACTCTCGTGAAATGGTCGTTCGACCCCAAATGGGGTCCTGATCCACAGGTTGAGAACCACTGATCTATGTGTTCATTGGAATGTCATATGTTAGCCTGCATTTCTACCTTTGTTTTAGTTTAACAAACAAGAAGCTGATGGGAAACCTTATTTTCTTGTTTGGAGTTGCATCCATTCAAATCCCCCGAATTTTACAAAGAAGTTTGCAAGCTGCCTGCATAGGAGTCATTACTAACCTTTTAGAATCCTCTCAACTGCTGGTTCAAGAGTATTCCATATATTTATTGATGAAATTAATATGACATTTCAAGTTTGAGGCTCAGGGATTTGGTCTCTTTCAGCCTGGAATGGACCATAGGATCTAGCAAATGCTGCTCTCTTAGGAAAACCATATTTAAGTCCTTAAAATATAAGAAAATGTTAATCATTTAATCTTTCTGCTTCTCTTTCCCAACCAGACTTCAATAGAAGTTGCTCTTTGATGTAAAATATATTCCTTCTTATTAAATGCCCCCTCTGGTCATTGTTCAAGACAGTGCTATTGATGACATTTTAATTCTGTACCATATTTGAATATATAGTAGGAATTATTATTTTTTTTGTACATATTTAAAAGGCATAAAAAGGAAGAACTTGTGAGAGAGGAGAAATCTACATCGGTAACTCTTCTGCACAGAAAGTCTTGCAGGTAAAGTTAAAATATGAAGAAAAAAATGTTGCTAAGAAAACATAGTTTTAGGCTGTTTAAAGGTCACTTTTCTTCCTATGATCGGAGTGCAGTATGTACAAACTCATAATATTCATTTCATGGGCTGTTCTGGCAGTTCATAATCAGCTTGCTTTACATTAAACTGGTTCAGAATTCAAATTTTAATTCTGATTTCAAATTTCGGGTATTTTTTTTCTTCACTAAAAGTCAAAGAAATCACGCAATGACTATTGCACCCCTACAGCCCCAGTTAATTGCATTTGGTAATATTTCAAAGATTAATAATGACCCCCTCTACAAAGATAAATTGGAGTGACTTTCAGACAGGTTAGTTAAGGAGCATTTCACTTTTTTTTTTTTTAAGAAAATTGTTGATAGCTTCATGTTTTGACATAATTGGGCCCTAAAGTTGCATTTCAGTAAGCTGAAACACTACATACGTTTTTCCAGAAGTATGTTTATACTGTTGCTTAGCAAGCAATTGTCATATCAATGGTGCACTGCATCGATGTGACTCTTCCTTTTAAAAATCTGCCATTTTTAAAAAAAAAAAATAGTGATCTTTGGTGGAAAGAAGATCCCTTTTCTCTTCTTTTGTGGCTTTGGCAATTTTCCATGAAGACAACCAACTTCCCAATGGTATATAATGTACATACCTAGATACCCATCACTTTATTCCCTTTGCAGGTGAGTACAAATAGTCCTCAATTTACAACCATTTGCTTAGTGACTGTTTGAAGTTACAATGGCACTGAAAAAAGCAACTTATGACCTGATTTCATACTTACAACCTTTGTAGCATCTCAAGGTCATCTTATTAAAATTGGAACGCTTGGTTACTGGCATGCATCTTTGACAGTTTCACTGTCTCTGTGGTCTCCATTTGTAACCTTCCAAGTCAGTTTTGGTCAAGCAAAGTCAATGGGGGAAAGCCCGATTAACCACACGATTCACTTAACAACTGCAGTGATTCACTTAACAACGGTAGCAGAAAAGGGCGTAAAATTGGGTAAATGTCACTTAACAACTGCCTTGCTTAGCAGCAGAAACTTGGGGTCATAAGTCCAAGACACCTGTACCATACAGACCATCAAAAAGGAGTGAGAAATAGTCAGCAGAAGAAATAAGACATAAGCGGAGAGAAAAAGAAATCATACTAAATCTGCTTTACATTAATCCCTTTTGCTATATAGGTAGTCCTTGACTTACGACAGTTCATTTGGTAACAGTTCAAAGTTACAATGGCATTGAAAAAAGTGATTTATGACCATTTTTTCACACTTATGACTGTTGCAATATCCCCACGATCATGTGATCAACATTCAGACGCTTGGCAACTGACCCATATTTATGACGGTCGCAATGCACCGTGGTTGTGGGATCACCTTTGGTGACCTTCTGACAAGCAAAGTCAATGGGGAAGCTAGAGTCACTTAACAACCGTGTTACTAACTTAACATCTGCAGTGACACACTTAACAACTGCGCCAAGCAAGGTTGCAAAATGGGGCAAAACTCACTTAACAAATGTCTCATTTAGCAACAGAAATTTTGGGCTCAACTGGACTTACTGTTCAATGCCTCACAAACCATTCTGACTTCAATCATTCTGACTTTGCCCACATCCACCCCCTGCTTCATACATAACCTTTTGTTCTTTAAACTTCACCACTCTCATATCCCATGGAGGGTTCAGAAAATTAGAACAATTAACCAGTGGAACAACCTGCCTCCAGAAGTGGTGAATGCTCCAACACTGGAAGTTTTTAAGAAGAGACTGGGCAGCCATTTGTCTGAAATGGTATAGGGTTTCCTGCCTCAGCAGGGAGTTGGACTGATAATCTCCAGGGTCCCTTCCAACTTTTTATTATTATTATTGATCATCTCACAGTCAGCCAGATGTTCAGACTGGATTTGGCATTTTGTCTACCTATTGAGTCCGTACCCAGGACCTGGGATAGGCAGATGTGGATGTTTGATGGTATTACAGGTATCGTCGCAGGATGGAAGCAGTTCCTAGTAAGGCTGCCTTTTGCAATTGACTAATAGCGAATTTGTCAATGCCAATGGTGTTCAAGTGGTGCTCCAGTTTTTTTGGGATTGCACCCAAGGCGCCTATTACTATTGGTACTACCCTTGCTTGCTTTTGCCACAGTCTTTCTATTTCTGTTTGTAGGTCTTTGTATTTTGTTATCTTCTCCAGCTCTTTCTCTTCTATTCTGCTGTCTCCAGGCACTGCCACATCCACTATCCAGACTTTTTTGTCTTTCTTATCGACAATTGTTAAGTCTGGGGTATTATGTTGCAGGTGCTTGTCTGTTTGAATCTGAAGTCCCAGAGCAGTTTAATTTTATCATTTTCTATGACTTTCTCTATTTTATGATCCCACCAGTTTTTGCTTACAGGCAAATGATATTTTTTGCAGATCTTCCAATGCACCATTGTTGCTACTTTGTCATGCCGCTGCTTGTAGTCAGTCTGTGCAATCTTCTTCTTCTTCTTTATTATTATTATTATTATTATTATTATTATTATTATTATTATTATTATTATTATTATTATTACTACTACTACTACTACTACTACTATATCCAACCAAAACTTTTGCAATTTTTGTTTCCCTTTCTTTGATCCATTCACTCTTCCATCTTACATACGTTTGAAGTTGGATTCCTATGCAGGCTCTCTGCAGGTGTTTTTCATGCTTTTATATTTTTTATATTCAGTCCACCTGAATTCATTGTGTATATTTAGATATTGGTTCAAAAATGCAAAACTAGTTCAGATGGAAATGCAGACGAGACCAATTCTCCACATTTGCATTGATGGGGCTCTGAAAAATATTTGTTTCAATGTTCTTTCCTTGTGGATTGTGATCCAAGAGTCCTGGATAAAATGACTGTGATTAGATTAAAAATTGCCCCATCACATCCACTCTACCACTATATTGCCAGTGATGTTTTTTCAGCACTCATCATCTAGATGATATTAAAGCTGCTAGCAAAGTCTCTCCTGTCTCAAAAGTGGAAGAGAGAGAAAGAGAGAGAGAGAGAGAGAGAGAGAGAGAGAGAGAGAGAGAGAGAGAGAGAGAGAGAGAGAGAGAGAGAGAGAGAGATTATTTATTCTCTTTGTATTCCTTCTTGGCTTCAAACAAGCTAACAGCACCCCTACCTGCTTACATAACTGTGGATTAAATAATACTTTTGACAGAGGCGAGAGACCATGTTCTAAAAGGGTAGCTTTTAATGCACACATGAGCCAAGTCAGCTTTTATGTGAGAGCTTCTTTAAAAAAAAAAACCAGAGAAATGCAACAAAGAATGGACATTAAAAATGATAAAATGAGAATAAAACAAGACTGAATAATATGAAAGTAGGCTTATTAAGTTCAGAATAATGGTTCCCTTCGCTGAGAATGCTGCTTTCCTTTTTGCCCAATCAGTGTTACAGAGGAGATATACCATTGCACTAAGTAATAATGGAATATTCTTTGGTGGTCCCATTTTCAATTTTTGGCAATTTAAGGGCAAATTCACTCAGGAACATGCATCACTCCGAGATCTCAGTAACTAGTGTAATTGCTTGTCTGAACGAGGCTCTCTTTACCAACGTGATAAACCCTAAACCTGATTTAAGAGAACCATAGTTGTTATATTTCCTTGACACTGATATCAGTTAAGTGAAGGTGATATTTTCCTGCATGTGGTCTCCCAACCCTTATACAGGTAAGACCTAAAAAACAATAAAATGTAAATATTGAAGTAAAGCAGATCTAAAGGGAAATCTATACAGTAATACAAACATTAGTTTTAACCATTTTTTTAAAAAAAACCTACCAGCTACGACAGTACTATTCAACAATGATTAAAATCAAACATAAACCTTATCATTTTCAATCTGAAATATACAGTATAACAAGTATTAGATCTTTAACTGTGTTTAAGGTGACATTTGTCAGTCTGCTATGGTAAAAATATTATTTAGAAACTAGACATCTCAGAAAAACTAGGCAAAAGGTAAATTTCTCTCAAATATTTATATCAAGAAGAAGGACCTAATGCACTGAAGATCATACTAAGTTTTGTTCCACTGAGGAAAAAGCTGAAACTGTTCTAAATTGAATACATATGTCTATTGATCCCCTTTTGTTTCTGAATAGGTGTGGATAATCCGTAAGCAGAAATGAATGAAGGAATGTGACATCACGATATAGTAGTCCACTATTGCTCATTCTCTGTGGGTATTTTAATTTCATTTCAATTCCAATTTAATATTTATTTATTATTTTGATTCCAAGGCTTCCTGATTTATCATGTCTCTGTGTAGCTTACAAATAAGAAATTAAAAGATCACCAAAATGTGTTCTTAAAGTAACTAACCATGGAGACTTAACAGCAAAAAAGACAAATAATTATCCTAACACAAGACCTGAGACGCCTAATTAAATTTTCAGAAGACTGCTACAAGACAAAAAAGGTAAAAGTATAAATCTCTACCAACTCCATCATACCCAGTCCCTAGCTTTTCTTTTCCTTTTTTTCTTTTCCCTTAATCTGTTTGGTTTATGTAATCTTTTTCTTTCCTTTCCTTTATTTTTTTTTGCCATTTTTTTCATTAAACAAACATAGCATCATTTAATTATGCTTTTTTGAGTGTATTTATGTATTTTGTCAAGGAGGTAATTTTTATTGAAAAATTATATATATATATATATATATATATATATATATATATATATATATATATATATATATATAGTTATGATTAGTACTTAGATGTTTAGCTTTGTTCTTTATCTAATTGTTCTTTTCAAATGTTAATGAAGGGCCTTGTTTTTAAAATAAAAGAACTGATTTCTAATAAATCAAGCAATTTGGAATTGCCTTTTAAATATAAAATTTCTACTCCATATTGCAGAAAGTTAAAAGCAGTGACTTTGAGTCCAGCTCCCTAATAGCAAATGGATAAAGTACAAATATGGATAGCACAGTCCACATATTCTGTGTGGACCAATCATTTGGGGATATCAATAGAAGAAAATAAAGCAATGATAGAATACAGTATATACTCCTTGTGGTTTATTACATGCCAAGGAGTGGAAAAATCCAGAAGATCTGGCAGGTAGATGTTATCTTAGAAAACTGCGAGGAAATGTTGGAAGTAAAACAGATTTGACTTGCAAATATATCTGATATTATATCTGTTTTTACTGGGAAAGACACCCTAGATCAGGGGCATTCGACCTTAGCAACTTTAAGACCTATGGACTTCAGTTAACAGAATTTTGGATGTTGGAGTCTTAAAGTTGCCACTCCTGCCCTAGGCGAACTATTATAGATGAAAGCAATTAATATTTTTCTTCTCGTCCTCCTCACACTCATCTGCAAAACACAAAACAAGAAATCAGTTGTGATAGGCTATTCAATATTATATGTCCAGATACCCACAATATGTATAAAACTCACTCAGCAATTTTTCTGTTAGAAAGGAATTATGAGATTTATCATATCAGCAGATTTCCTCAACATATTCATGGTTACCTGTGGGTTTCATTTTGATGTCCTATCTCAATTAAGTCTAGTGCCATTTGTTTTGAGGTTGTTTTTTTCTTCTTCTTCTTAGTATTGTTTTATATTGCTTTGCATCGAAGGGCAATCTGGTGTTTATTCATCTGCCATTTTGTGATTCTCAGCATTTATCACATTGCGTTGGCCAGGTAGTTCATTCACGACCTAGAGTAACAATCTGCTTAGTAGGAACAGGGGACATTTAAAGTTCCTTGGTTTCATATAGGCCACAGTCTCTTATGAGCAGAACAATCAAAAGTCATTTGCCTGGAGGACTTGCCGTTTGTCCGACTTGGCGGTTCATTTGCAGTCATGGCCGACTTGGGCCAAGATGAAGGGCAAAAGAATTCCATGCTAAAGTTGACTCTAATCCGTAAAATGCTTTCCCCTTTGTCCTTTTGCAGCTCGATCATTAAAGGAGAAAACCCCACTGCTGAGAGCCACGGTTGCACAAAGTATCATTTTGCTGATCTGAAATGAGACTCTAACTGCAACATACTCTCAGTTTAATAACTGCTGTTGCACAAAACACTATTTCATTTTTCCCAATTAACCCTCCAAGAAAATGGTGAATATTCAGCATAATTATTTCTAAGCCAGCAAAACACTCCTTCCATAGCTAGAGATAATGGAACAGAGTGGCTAACTATTTAGGACAATAAGTCACGAAACTGGTTCCCAGGGAGATGCAGAACACCTTGAAATTCTAACTAGCAGACAAATTGCGGAGAGAACGTTTCATATATACAAGGCTAGGAAGGAACTGGAAAACATCTCAGCTCCTCCTAATTGTATTAATTCCACTTTAAGTTGTTTCTGATGGGTGAACTTAGAGGCAGAGTGAAAAAGACTGGTGAGGTTTGATGGTGCTATAATTATATATTTCAGAAGCTGATGGTGATGATGTTTGATTAAAGGAGAAAAATACTGCTGCTTTTATATTCCACCCTGACAATGTGATTCACAAAGCTCCCCCCAAAATAGTCTTTTTAGCAATAAGATCTCTGGGGAGGAATATATCCTCCAGAGAAGTCTGCCTGGCACTTTACCATTGCAAAATGAATAATTGTCCCCTTTTTACCTGTTCAGAAGAAAAGATGGTGTTTTGAAGTGCCTATAAATTTTATTTATTGATACCAGTCACACTCTGATCCCATTTAAGTTGATTGTCCACATAATCTTTCTGCTTTCTGAGTTCAGCCATGGAGGTTTTCAGGATGCGGAGTTTACCTTCTGTTCTTCGTGTCAACTGAGAACACGTTGTGTGTCAAATTTATTCTGTTTAGCTTTCAAAATTAAAACCTATAAGAGAGAGTTGTGAATTGTCCCATATAGACTTGTTAGTAAGCTCCATCTTAGAGCAAATTTGAACCTGATTTCTTTTTAAAGTTGTAATTTAGTCTTCTAGCATCTTCACCATAACGTCCCTCAGCAAAAGAAATGTGTGAAAACTATTAGATTTGACATTTGTTATGCAGCACTCCTTCCAAGATTAGAGGATTGATTGATTAGACTGATAAAAGTTAAATGATAGAAATTAAGATGTATATAAAATGCTTAGCCATTATTCTCATTATTCTTATGGTATTTATAAATTAATTAGTGAGTTTTTGGTCAATGGGATTTTGAGCAGCAGACGGTTCTTGACTTATGGCCATCTTAAGCCACTGCTTTCATTAAGCAGGTCACTTCATGACTGCACCTGATTTTACAACTTTTTTAAAGAAGTCATTAAACAGATTCCACGGTTGTTAAGCAAACACTGCAGTCACTAAGTGAATTCATTTTATCCAATGAGCGTGTTTTGCCAAAAATGAGCAAAAATTGTAAAAAAACCACAGTCATGTGATCACAAGATGCTGCAAACATCCATAAATGCAAGTTGGTTGCCAAGCATACCAAATGCAGTCACATGACCCTGGGTTGGTAGGGGTGGTATGGTTGTAACTTCAATTAATCACTAAGCAACAGTTGTTAATTGAGGATTGCCTATACACAATAATTAAAAAATAGCAAGAAAGAAAGAAAGAAAGAAAGAAAGAAAGAAAGAAAGAAAGAAAGAAAGAAAGAAAGAAAGAAAGAACATAGTATAAATTATGTTTTATCACATAATAGGCAATAGTTATCCAATAATCATACTACGACCGTTTGGAATGAAAGAAAGGAATGAATGAAAGGAAAAGTGGAACCAACCATACTTCCCAGGAGCAGGTAAATAACAACAACAACAACAACAATAATAATAATAAAGTTGGAAGGGATCTTGGAGGTCATCTAGTCCAACCCCCTGTTCAGGCATGAAAACCTATATACTATAGAATTAAGGTGTTAAAAAAAACCCAAAACGTTCCATATAAAATGTAAAGTGTTTCTCACCTGCTCCATAGTTATAAGACTGAGTTTCAAACACATTCTTAGCTCTAAACATAACAAGGAAAATCCAGTCAACAATGAATACAATAAGTTACTTTCTTTCCATTTAATTAGAGACTCCATTAAGATTAGGGTATTAATCATAGAGTTCTTTTTGAGATTATCTAATTGCTAGTATATCATTACTGTAATTTATTAGCCCACTGCTAAATTTTTCTACTTGCATAATTATTAATCTATTCTATAGTACATATTTTTGGAACCAAGCATATGTTTTGAAAATCTTCAGATATACACCAGGCTCTATAGAAAGATACAGAAAATGGGCATTGCTCACTTACAGTGGTTTACATCTTGGTTTTCAATACATACTGAAAATTTGCTGCAAATGAGAAGTTGTGAAATCTGTCACAATATAAAACATACCGCTAAACTGGATTTTTTATTCATCTGAATTGTGTCTATAATTACAACATGTTTGCAGTTGGCAAGAGAATGCTGATTTTAGTTGTCAGGGAAGGCTACAACACTCAGTAAGGCTCCTATTACCAAATAGAATTTTATATTTCGTTCACACAAATGCAGCTTAATAAAACACAGTATGTAATGCTTGTTAAGTCCAAATAATACATAGTAGCAATTGTTCTTTGTGGGTCTCCTTTTTTTTTCTCCCTAAATCATGCGTTTTTCAAACAATTTAGCCTATGCACAAGGCATACAATAGTCAAGAATGCTGTCATTTTGAATGTAGTCTCTTACTCAGCGGTAGCTATCCTATAGTTTAAATATGGTCCAAACATAGTTGGTTCCTAAAATATTTTGAATATGCTAAAACAGCAAAACCCAAAACAAAAGATAGAATAGGGGTGGCAGGGGAGTTAGGTATGAAAAGATCAGTGTGTGAAAGGTGGAACTCAGCAGCAGTATATGAACGAAAATGTTATCAGCAGTAGCATCAGCAATTAAGAGATGCTGATCATATATTTGAAGTCTGCTAGTTTGTGCAGATCTATGCTGCTTGGTATTTACCATTATCTTTAGAGGCATCACTGTTGTTCCCTCCAATTGCCCAGTATATAGGTTGAGGCTGATTACACAACAATTCTAGAACGGAAGTGGAGACCTTAAGAGGAAAAAAATAAGGGACATTGCTCATAATATTTTTTTAAAAACAAAAATCTCAGGATTGCTTTGGAACAGCCCAACTCACCTCATAGGGTTGTTGTTGTTGTGAGAAAAATAGGAGGAAGAAGGTATATCGATATGTTCTTCACCTTGAGTTATTTGTAAAAATGATAAAGGGTGGGGGCAATACAAATAAATAAATAAACTACAAAATGGATTTAAGGAGATGGGGAAAACCAGACTTTTTCCTGTTTTATTCCTCTTGATAAATGTTAAAGCTGGGCACCCAAAAAAACACTCATAAAAGTTTTGTTTGTGTGTCCACAGCCATTACTTTGACTTTTCTGGTCTCTCCCTGTGGATACTCTTCTGTCTTCATCATCTATCTCATCATCTATCTCATCATCCTGGTTGTGTTGAAAAAACCTCCCAGCCACCATGAATGGCTGGATTTTTGGGGTAACTATCGTATAGTGGACCTGATAGGCATCCAGACTGCATCAATTTAAATAAGTTAACAGTGAGACTAAGCAACAAGTAAGAGGGATTGATTGGCTCAATCAGAAAACTCTTCTGGCCAAATATAAAAGAAAAAGATGAAAAGGGTGAACAGATGAATTTGCAAAACTGAGGGGGAAAAGGCAGCATGAAACTAAGGATGTAAACTGGAGACAATTAATAAAGCAAACATTTAGAGGGGAAAAAGTTATGCCAAGCAACTCCTAAAGTTTGCAACTTAGTGTTAAAAAATAAGGCTATGCATGCTTTCAAAAGGATTCAAAAGACAGGCTTTTGAATATGTGGGCACTTGAGCATAGGACCACTTTAAAGCAGCCATATTATTTTACAAGTTTCAAATGAGTCTAAAATATAGTTTATTTGCAAGTATATGCCAGACTTGTATAACTATATGGCATTAATGCACGTAGCCACGTTAATGACAAAATCTTATCTTTGACATATTCAATTTTTATTTATTATGATCTATTTATTATTTTTTTCTGTGTATCTGGCTGCAAGGCAACTCATGTAATGCCATGGTACATGGATAATACACAGGCACTATGTACATATGCGAATGGGTCATATATGAAATATGGAGTATGTGAGACCCATTCAAAGCAGACCAAAACGCAGGAAAAGTTGTTTAGGAGAACTTCAGACTGTATGAATAAGTAGAACTTTTAGTTCAGAAAATGAACAGTAAAAGTGGTAAACTTTTATTTGTTGCTATGATCCTGAGTTTCTATAAGTAGTAGAACTAACAGCACTAGAAATGCTTATGGCTGTTGGTGTGACAGTCTTAAAGAATAGCATCCATGATACAACTACTTTAAGGAAACATATTAAATATGGCTGTTTTAATGAATTGACTCCTTAAAGCAACAGCCTAAGAAACAATTCACAACTCAGCTGCTTTAAGGAAGTCCTACATTCACTATCTCACATAACCTAAAGTACCTTTACCAAATCGTTTCTACTAAGCATAACATATAGAAAACAAGAATACTGCCAACAATCTTTTTTGATTAGGACTGACATAAACCTAATAAACAAATTGGAGATATTGCCTATGTAAGCTGAAATATTTTGTTCTTTTTGTAAAATGATCAGGATTTGAAGGTCACACAGTATGAAATCAGGTCTAAATGGGTGGGGAAAGCATCCTTTCTTTTCTCAAGAAATTCCATTGTGAAATAATGAGCCCAGCAGGATAGAAAAGGGAAAGTATGTAAATTAAAGCAACTTATTGTTTTCCTTATATTCTCATTTAATGTCTTTATTCTTTCCCTGCCTAGACTTTTGAAAGGCAGTTCTAAGTATCGGGCTATTCTTAATATTTATACAGTTTAAAGTAAATTCTTATTTTACTTAGTGTCAATATATACTGGGTTCTTCTGTTTGAACTCAATATTGACATAACATGACAGAAGGAGAATAAATTTTGTAAAATGACCATAATGAACTAAAAAGCAACCAAGATGGAAGGGAACAAGCAGGCATTATTGTTGATCATGCATGCACTGAAAATGAAAATACGAAGATACGAAACAGTCTGCACAAGGCATAAATACTTGCAGATGTCTTCATCTACAATATTTTGCCACAGATATTCTGAGCGAAATAGGACTCGGCTGCTGTCTATTCTTTTGGGGCTTCACCAGCTTATCACCTCTACCACAAATAAAAGGTATCTGGTAAAACTTTTCTTTGATTTTATGCTGTCAGCAAACTGTAGCTCTTCTAACAATTTGCTACCTTAGTTCCCTCTTTGGCTAAAACAATCCAGAACTTATTCTTCAATCCGCTTTTGCCACAGTTCAAGGAATATAGGTAGTCCTCAACTTAGGATCACAATAAGGAACCATTGTTAAGCAAAGCAGTTATTAAATGAGTAATGCCCAATTTTACAATCTTTTTGTGTTGCCATGGTTGTTAAGTGGATCACCGAAGTTAAGTGAATCACATCGTTGTTAAACAAATCTGGCATTCCCAATTAACGTTTCTTGTCAGAAGTTGTCTGAGAAGGTCCCGAATGACAGTCATGTGACCTGCAACTGTTGTAAATACAGGCCACCTGCCAAGCATCTGAATTTTGACCCTGTGACCACGGTAATGCTGTGATAGCTGTAAGTGTGAGAAGTTGTAAGTCACTTTTTTTCAGTGCTGTTGTAACTTCATACGGTCCCCAAACAAATTGCTGTATGTCGAGGAGTTACTTGTAGTGCAAAATATAAAAAGCGGGATGTGGCTGGAATTCTATGGAGTAAAATATAGATACGTATATACATACACACACGTGCACACACACACACACACACAGTCACAATATCCTTCCTTTGCATGCAATACATTGGTGGAGTCACTGAAGCAGTAGGTGTGAATTTAAATGGACTCCAGAATATGGTAGAGGACAAGAAGACCTGGAGGAATGTTGTCCATGGGGTCGCGATGGGTCGGACATGACTTCGCAATTAACAACAACAACATAACAACATTGGCATCACACATCCCAATTGGTAGGCTAAAGCCAGTAATAGATAGATTGCCTTTTTGCCACTTTCTGTGTTTTTTTTTTTCTCTTCGTCACTGGCTGACAGGCTAATGCCAGCAATCTGAATGAATTACACTCAGAGGTGTTTTGAAATTAGGCCAGGGGTGTCACCCAACCCTGCTTTGCAACTACATCAGTGGCAAATAAGCAGGATCTAACAGATCTGGAAAAGCTCACCAATTGTGAACCTTTTGATTTGAGAACACAAGCTTCAGCATTTGGGTGCCTTTTTACAAATGATTAGCATTTGACATTGAACAGGGACTACGAAAGTCAAGTGGGAAGAGGACCGTGAATTAATTAATGTGCAATTAGTGCTCCATTATTTGCGTGGTTGGATGCAAACGTCTGGTCTCTAAACACTATTTTGCAAATAATTGCTACCACTTTCATGGATCTTTCGTAGTCCTCAATTTACAACCATTTGTTTAGTGGTCATTCAGTGGCACTGAAAAAAAGTGGCTTATGACTGTTTTTCACACTTGCGACTGTTGCAGCATCTCCATGGTCACCGGATCAAAATTGGGACACTTGGCAACTGGCATGTACTTTATGACGGTTGCAGTGTCCCAGGGACACGTGATCACTTCTTGCAATCTCCTGACAAGCAAAGTCAATGGGGAAGCCAGATTTACTTAACAGCCGTGTTACTAACTTAACAACTGGAGTGATTCACTTAACCACCTGTGGCAAGAAAGATTGTAAAATGGGGCAAAACCCACTGAACAATTGTCTTGCTTAGCAATGAAAACTTTGGGGTCAATTGTAGTTTGCGATGGTGGCGAATATCTGTAGTTTGGGTGTAGGATGAGGGTGGAAGTTCGTTCTCCAAGCTTGTGGGTCGGTTTCCAAATGTTTTGTTACCAGGCTAGGTAACATCTGCAGCGGAGTTTAGGGGATGTCATTGTTCCATCACAAGACCCTCACCTGACATGACCTCCCCATCACAAGACCTACTGGTCACACGAAGCTCTTATAAACAGAAGCACACTGACACCGACGTCCCCTAAACTCCACTGAAATGTTACCTAGCCTGTAATGAAACGTTCGGAAACCAACTCACAAGCTCAGAGAACGAACCTACATCCTCTTCAATTGTGGTTGTAAGTCAAGGACTATCTGTAACATCTTTAGCCCCACAAAAACACATTTTAAAATTGTAAGCCACTCAGAGTCATTTGGATGAGTGAGACAGCTATGGAAAATGAATGAGTGAATGAATAAATGAATGAACAAACAAATAGTTGGCATTAGAATTTAAGCACAATGGCTTATTGAAGGAAAAGTTAAATTTAGGCCAAATCCTGGGCCAAATCACATCCTAGTTAAGTCTCACTGTCTGTTCAAATGGCCCATTTTTCAAGTTTATAAGGGTTATGGAATGTACCAGAAAGACATATATCATTTTCAATTTTCTCCAACCTACTTTTCTTATTCCCCTTCAAACTCCAGATGAAAGTATAATAACTTTTTCAGCAACATTTTTTTTAAAAAATGAAGGTCTCCTGATTTCATATTTTTTGATTAAAAAAAATAGGCCTTAGTGAAACTTTGTAAACTATGGAGAAGGAACAGGCAGAGGAATTTTACAGAAATATTTCAGGATGAAAGAGAACCGATGCAGATTAAGCCAACTCATTCCTTTTCTTGAACAAACATTGAAAAAGGTTTGAGACCCATCCGTGATTTAAAAATAAATAGTCATAATCTCCGGAATCAAAATTTTCCCTCTGAGGCGGTGGTGGAATTCAAATATGTGAACAACCAGTTCTCTGTATGGATGCCACTTGCGGAAGTCCATTCTGGGCCTGGGCAACAAAAAATTAGCTACCAGTTCAACTGGTGCGAATTGGCTGAATCCCACCTCTGCCTCTGCCTTGTATATGTTACAAATATATAAATTTCAGTATATGGGCATAGAAAGTGAGGTATAATTGAAGTCTCCAAAAATTCTAGCTGCTCAGATTAACAGAATTGACAGCATATTTGAGAATAAAATCCAAACTGTTGTCAAACACCTTTAAAGAAGCTTTGTTTAATGCTTGGAAGCAGCATGTCTTTCAGGGCTATACCCAGCACTATCTAAATAAATAAATAAGTTAAAAAAAAAAAGCTGGCATTGCTTTTGTAAAGGTACCTTATCTCTTGCACCAGCCACTTAATTCCTTTAAATACTGAAAAGGGGCTCCCTTTTTTTTTCAATCAGAGAAACAGTAAAATCTGGCTAGGAACCCAGCGTATTCTCCAACGATCGTAAGAAGGTAGCAGAGTGTTGTTAAGTAAGGGAAAAAACTTTGTCTGAATTTAGCAGCTGCAAATATATGAACCTGAAAGGCAAGGGCTTGGCTCACCCGGCGAAACAAATCTCTTACATAAATGCTATTTGGAATGGAGAGATACATTTCTTTGCAAATAAAATAAGTGGCATTTAACATTGATGCAGCTAGGCATGTTCCTATGGCTCTTCGCTCTGTGATTGAGAAGAGCAATCTAGGAAGGTGGAGAACAGTGTTTCCCAACCTTGCCAGCTTTAAGATGGGTGGACCCCTAAGTCGAAGTCTACACATGTTCAAATTGCCAAGGTTGAGAAACGCTGGATTGTCAAATGTTTGAGATGTGATTACAAAGGATGTGTAAGTCGATCATCTTTATCCAGTTCTTTCCCAATTTAAACATTCCATTGCTCCATATTTCACTGTAGCAATTAGTTTCTGGCCATTATTGATTTTAATGTGTCATCTATTTTCATCTGCTATGTATTTTAATTTTTGTACTACTATAAAAAAATGTTCTTTTTCTTTTTAGTTTACTTCCCAAAGTCACTGGATGAGAAGAGGGGCCACAGAATGAATGAATGAATGAATGAATGATGAAACAAATCATTCAGTGGGCACTTATGGCAGCCCATGTTCCAAACTTTTAAAAAGCTGTCCACAATCCCAAACTTTTCTTTAATCAGCAACACACAAATGATGACTTGTTAGAATTTCCTTACATTTTCCATTATTAATCTGATGTTATCAGCATGATGCTGGGTGTCCAGACCTCTCAATACAGCTTTTACAGGACAGTTCTCATGCTTTGTTGAACTACGAGTGATAAAAGTTTAACCATAGAATAGATCTAGAATAGAAATAGATCTTTTCAGCTTCTAGACCCTTGCTATGTTTCTTGACTTTAATTGCAGGATCTTGTGAGATTTTTCAAATAGTCTGCCAGTATCTCATTAATTTTTATAGTTTTTTGTTAATAATTTTCTATTTAGTGTTAGAGTTAGTTTGTGTCAGAATTAGCGTTTATATAACTCTGCTATCTATGTTTATATAGCTCTGCTATATATCTTTTCTGCTAACTTCTACATTTTTGCAGCTGAGATATAAGAATCATTGGAGGCTGGCAAAGATATTGGAGTGAGTGTTGATAGCAGCATATATGGTCTCTCTCATTTCCCTTCACATATCCATCAGTACTAGAATTGTCTTGGAAAAGCAAACAATCAATTTCAGAGAGCACCAAAGACTCCAAAGGAGCATAAAGTTGGTTTATTTTATCAAACTTAAAATAGATATCTGGCTAATTCTGGTAACCCCAATGGACTTTGGAACAAAAGTGCAGAGCAGAGCAACCAAGATGGTTAAAGGCCTGGAGACTAAAACATATGAAGAATAGTTGCAGGATTTCGATTTGGCTAGTCTAAAGAAAAGAAGGACTAGAGGGGACATGATAGCGGTATTCCTGTATTTGAGAGGCTGCCACAAAGAGGAGAGGAGTCAGCTTATTTTCCAAAGCACCAGAGGGCAGGACAAGAAACAATGGATCAAACTAATCAAGGAGAGAAGCTGGAATTAAGGAGAAACTTCCTAATAATGAGGTCAACTAACCAGTGGAACAGTTTGGCATCAGATTGCATTTGTTTTTATTGATGTAACTGTAATTTTTAATAAAATTACTATTTTAAAAAAAACTGTTTTGTTATCAGAAGGCGCAGTGACAACTTGTAACTTAAGGGTCCCAAATTTATTCTACCTGGCTAAAATATTACTGGCTTTGTTTTGGATACTTATTGATCTAGAAAATATATGCCTATATATCTGATTTGTTTTTTCTTGTTTTTGATTCTCACTTGTTGCAAACCAATCTTATTTCATTCTTTGACAAAGTGAGTAAACTAATAGACCAGGAAAATACTGTGGACGTAGTATATTTAAACTTCAGTAAGGCATTTGATAAAGTAAACCACAACCTACTCCTTGGTAAGCTAGAAAAAAGTGGAATAGACAACATCACCACCAGATGGATCTGTAGCTGGCTGGCAAACCATACTCAATAAGTAATCCTCAACAGCACTACATCCACATGGAGAGAAATAAAAAGTGGGTACCACAAGGTTCTGTCTTAGGCCCAGTACTGTTCAATATCTTCATCAATGACCTAGATGAGGGAATTGAAGGGGAACTCATCAAATTTGCAGATGACACCAAACTGGCAGGAGTAGCCAACACCCCAGAAGAAAAACTCAGGATCCAAAACGATCTTGACAAACTTGAACAATGTGCCCTATCCAATAAAATAAGTTTCAATGTGGAGAAAAGCAAAGTTTTACATTTAGGTAGGAAAAATCAAAGGTACAAGTACAGACTGGGCAAGACCTGGCTTAAAAACAGTAACTGTGAGAGGGACCTTGGAGTCCTAGTTGGATGATCACTTAACCCTGAACCAACAGTGTACAGCAGCAGCCAAACAGCTAATATAATTCTGGGTTGTATAAACAGAGGCATAGAATCAAGATCACGCTAGGTATTAGTACCGCTTTATAAAACCCTAGTAAGACCACACCTGGAATACTGCAGCCAATTTTGATTACCATATCACAAAAAAGAATTGAGAGTTTGGAAAAAAATTTCAGAGAAGAGCAGCTAAGGTGATCAAAGGCCTGGAGAGTAAAACATATGAAGAATGACTACAGGACTTGGGTTTGGCTAGTCTAAAGAAAAGAAGAAGTAGGGGAGACATGATAGCAGTATTCCAGTATTTGAGGGGCTGCCACAAAGAAGAGGGGGTCACGTTATTCTCCAAAGCACCAGAGGGCAGGACAAGAAACAATGGTTGGAAACTGATCAAAGAGAAAAGCAACCTGGAATTAAGGAGAAACTTCCTAACAGTGAGGACAATTAACCAGTGGAATAGCTTGCCCACAGAAATCATGGGTCTCCATCACTGGAGATTTTTAAAAAACAACTAGACAGTCACTTGTCTGAGATGGTATAGGGGGCTGGACTAGAAGACCTCCAAGGTCCCTTCCAGCTCTGTTCTATTCTAATATGATGGTGACAAGTTTTTCTTTTTCCTTTTTTCTTTATCCATTAATCCCTTGTTGTTCTTAGCTGAGTGTCAATGTTATAGTTGGACCTCATGAAGGATTATTTCAGAGCTTGCCAATTCTGAATTACATTCATCGCCCATTCCAAAAACAATAACAGAGATTAATTTTTCGAAAAACGGCAAGCATATTGAACAGGTGGCATCCTCTGCTGCAATGGACTTGCATCAAGGTGAGAAGGATGTGATGGATGCTTTTCATGAAGAACAATTATTTTGATGAAATGATTTTGGTGTAAGTTATTTGTAAATGTCATGTTGTCTGTTATTATCAGTATTATACTTCACCATGAATTTACCTCATGTTTCTGAAACTCTATACTAGATCACCAATGTAAAAACAACACAAAACATTACTTTAAGCTCAGTGCTTTAGATCTGAAAGACTTTTTTCCAGTGCTCATTAGAGATTTTGTGAATCTCTCTCTATGTTTTGCTCTAAATAATCATGTTATTGTATCTCAGAAATAAGCAGCCAGAATACTACATTATCATCTACCTGAGATTCAAGGGAAACCTGAATGGGAAATATTGTAAAGTACTGCATCCTTGCCAGGTACAAAGGCAGTTTTCAGAGATCCTGGGTAGGACTCTTTTTTTATTTTCCAATTATTACTCTTGGACAAAATAAAGATGATTTTCAAATATGTCTGCTAAATCTCAAAAAACAAAAGTGATGCATTTGGATTTCTGATCTGTGAATATTATTAAATCAACCAACTTGCCCTGGTCAAAATGGATTGTGCCTTTGGTTCACACCTGGCACACCAAAACTACACATTTGACACTGTTTGTAAGTTAATATCATATCAGGTATACCAACAGCACACAAATGGAGGCAGATCTTGGCAGTTTTTGCTGTTTGTGCTTGTACTATGCAAGGAGCAAAGCAATTGCTATTTAATTGCATAGCATTTTTCTTTAACATATATTATCTTCCTTTAGCTCCTGCAAGATTGCTGGTGTATCCAAAGCAATGAGTACAGGTAACAGCCAAGCTAACCACAAGTCACATAGACATTTAATGTGACACCTGCCCATTTTTATAACCTGTTCATTGTCATATAATACTGTCTCTCCTGTCAAATTTTCCAAGTACAATACAGCAAGAGGTAGGCTACTGCAGAAGTTCTCAGCAGCTAAAGTACATGTGGTCAAACAATTTGTAAAATACATGCAGTATTAGTAGACTACATAGTTCATGTTGAGGAGGAGATCCTTGGAGGGATTAGGCAGCATGGGTCAAGCTCAAATAGGGAACTGGAGGAAGGGCCGTTATGGTTCTTTTATAAATAATATAAAGCAAGAGAATGGATGTCTGAAAAGCCATGAGCTAGAAATATGAGAGACAAATAATAACCTCTGAATTGTGGGAGGATTGTTTTACATTTGCTGAGAAGAACAAAAGGTCCTGAAGAAAACAAATGGCTGGAGGGCCAAATGATTGTAGAGTTCGCTCAGGAAAAGCTATGATGCTTTTAAAGATTGGTCTGCTTGACTGACACATTTTAATCCTTTTTGTAATCCCAGACAAGGCTTTTTTCTCTCCCTGCTCAGCTACCCTTTCTCCATGTCTCCTTGCCATTCAGTTTTATCTATCCTCTCTTTATTTCCTCAGTATAATTCCTGATTTTTCTATTTCTCCTTTTTTTTATGTTTCTGATGGAAAGAAAAAAAAATGGTCTCTGTACAGAGGTACTTTATGCATATAAGAGAAAGATTGGTATATGAAGGTGAGGAATCCGTTCATTCTATAAATGGGCCTCTTATTTTATAAGTTATTCATCCTAATTATATCTAAAATTTCTAGTCAAAGTTTAGCAGCAGCATACTTTAGTCTGATCTATTTGGAAACAAAATAGCTTGAAGGGCTAATGTAGGGTTCCATAATGGCCCTAAAAGCCCGATATGAGAAGTCGGGTCTGGTTCTATTCAAAGGTCCTAAACACTTGACTGGAGCCAGAAAAACAATGGAACTGAAAGGTGGGAGGAGCTATCTGAATTGGCACCCAATCATGTTTGCTGTTGAAAGCCCACTCTGGAGAAAGAAGATAGTTGTTTTTCTTTCTTTGTTTGTTTGTATTAAGATTCTTAGTGAGCCAATGAAAGTTAGAGCCACTGGAAACAGCAAGGGGAAACTTTATTTTTGCAGAAGAATTTCACTCTGGCATTTGGAAAGGAGTAGGAGAGGTAAAATTGTTGGTCAGACCTGGCAAATTAGAAAGCATAAAAAGGACACTTGCCTTCAGAAGGGGAGAGTAAAGGTTTTGGACAGGCTTTCAAGATTCAGTTAAGATATTCTACAACCTAAAGTTGTGGTAGGGAGAAGGACTGGAGTTAAAAGAGAGATTAACCTAGAATCTCCTTATAGCCACAAATGAACTAACTAACAAACTAAACTCTTTTGAATTCTGTTGGCCTTTATCTCACTCTAAGCACTGCTAGCCATTGCTATTGAGAATATTCCATTGGATAGACATGAGTAGCAATCCATCAGTTTAACTGGATCTTCATGTGTGCATCTGATCTTTTGTGTCTGACAGTTCTATTCCTAGAATTCCCACGGTGTTTGTTTCCTCACCTGGCCTACCTCAAAAAGATAATGATTTTCCCCAGTCCTACCTAGTCCTTTCCCCCATACCTTTGCAGGACAGAGATGAAAAGCAATCAAGATGGATTACACATGAACATCAGTACATCAATGTTGATTTGATGTGGCCAGGAAAAGTCTCACTGCTCAGTGGAGTTGGTGTTGGAAATCAGTAGTGTTGAGGAGCTCTATGGGAAAATTTAGCCTCAGTGTCTCAAAGAACCGAAGCTCATTAAGGAGTCCCTAAATAGATTACAAGGATCCCTACTGCTAGCTGCAGCCATCTGATTCTTTCAGTCATGGCTACCATCAGTTTCCCCAGTGCTGGAGCCAGTAATTTTCAGGTAGCATATTCTTTTAGAGCCTTGACATAATGTCACTATTGCTGGTGATGGCGGCAAAGTATATATATATATAAAAAAACCCACAACACTGCTACACACCAGGCATCCTCTGGCAGTGATCCTTGGGCATTAGGAAAAGAAGAAGAAACAAAGATTGCCAAGGTGGGACATAACCGCAACTCATAACTTCTGTCTTCAGGTTCATAAGAGGACTGCAGTTAGGTACAAAGAGATATGGCTATAGACATATATTTTCTCTTAATTCAGGGGTGTCCAACCTTGGTGACTTGAAGACCTGTGGACTGGGGAATTCTGGGAGTTGAAGTCCACAGGTCTTAAAGTCGCCAAGGTTGGACACCCCTGTCTTAACTGATGATTTTGTTTTCCTAAAAAACTTAAGTGCTTGAATCATACCAAGTATAGCATCCTATATGAT